CTCATCACATCCACCTCCTCGGAGGAAGATAGATGAAGCGTCTGGCTCCCTCTCCCTCACAGCGAGAGCTAGCAGTGATGACAATCAGGTGCGAGAAACCTGACCGTGCATGCTTCGCTCCTAAACAAACGACACACAAATCGTGTGTATTCCCTGCCGCCAGATATCGTGGGCAGGGAGAAACACAGCGTTTGTAATGTCGTTCGCTCGCCATAGACTTTCTCATTGTTTTATATATATGAGTGCTTGTGCGGACAGACAACAGTAAATAGACAGACACATACACAGAGCGCTACTGAAGGGCAGAAGCTGGGTGGTGCCCGGCCGGATGCGCTTTTATGCTTTCTGGTGCTTACGTCACCCTGCTCGTGACGTCTCGCTGCTCCATTGGACGGATTTGACACGTGCTTCAGAACGCGGTCACGCAAGGGCGTTCCCAAAGCGAATCTCGACGCAGCTCGAGTTCCTGAAGGGGAACAGTTGTGCTGCATAATATTTTTGTAGAAAAAAAGTCTTATTGACCCTAAACCTTTTTATGGTAATAAGTGTACATTGTTTGTTTTTGCACTAATGTCCAACTTATTATGAATAATTTAATATTTTGGTTTGCATCCATCAATTTTCAAATAAAAATAAAAACTAAAGTTACGATTTTGGACTCAGATCATGAGTGCACCCTAACACGTGTCGATACCAGGCACTATCATAGTCGCTGTACGTGTCAAAGCAAAAGTTCAAGTAGGTCAGAAATAGAGTGGGGCATCCAGTTTAGACAGTATATCATAATATCAGTATATCATTATAAAATAATTATTCTTACTTGATATACTTTATAATTTTTTTTTTACATATGGCATACATGAAGAAATTATTTTCACAAACAGTTTATTCATAGACATAAAAGCTGTCTTGGATGAAAAATAAAAATGTACAATCAAAAGGTCAAATGAGTAATTTATAGTGAGTAATGAATACAGCTGACATACTGTGATGAAGGAAATAAAGTAATTGAAAACCTGGGGTTTGTATAATTTTCTCCTTATAAAACTCAACTTTTAATGACTCATTGCTTTTTTAAGCCCAATATATTGAGCTTTAAACCACATTCTAAGTTTAACTAATTTCTCCTCCTTGTAGATTCAGAAATAGAGTAGTTTTAGAAAGTTTGTTCAGAGCAACTTGTGAAATTCACATGCTCTTAAATTGGGCCCTTTGGGGCCCTGTGTTTCAGTGGAGAGGGAGAGAGAGTGAATGAAGGAGAAAGGGCTTTGAAAGATTTTTGACAGGGATAGTGCAAAAGTTACTGCAGCATGTTTGATCGTCTCATTCTCGTACACAAGGGTAAAGTTGCACAGAAATTGAGTCAAACTCATCCGATCAAGGCTAATGAGAAGTGAGGAACCGCGTTTCACATGCTCTATAGCTTGCTATTTTAGGCTGCCTTGACCAATCAAATGACAGGAGCTCTATGATTGGTTGATGTCATTGATATGTGATTAAACTCACGCTGCTTAACACAATTTACCTTAATGAATCTGGTCAATGATTTCCCAGTAAGTACACAAACAGCTTTAGTTTGAAATTCATAGTGAAATGCACTATAAAATTTAAATTTACATTTAGTCAATCAATATTAATTAGCAGCTGCAGCACACTCCTGATTTAATGTCCCTAATCTGAATCAGAAATGTATTCAGTGTAATCACAGAGATTCAGATAAATTGCATCACTGGAATCTCTCCAGCACACAAAAAGCATCTCATCCAGTGCCACAACCACCATAGACATTGAGAGCCCCTCAGATATTCAAAGAAAAAAAAAGATCTGACAACCCTGAATATGTGGTCATATCCAGGGTCTCATAAAACAAGCATGAAGAACAAGCATCATATGTGTTGCTTTTGGTCAGTAACCTGCTTTGGTTTTTGGGGGTTTGTATAAAGTTATAAGGTTCCTTTTTTGTCCACCTGCAGGCACAAGACCCTCAAGTCCTGGAGCAGCTCTCAAAAAACATCACCCGCATGGGACTGACCAACTTCACCCTTAACTACCTCAGGGTAGGCAGAACAAAAATAGTTCATTTGTTCAATTTCCCTTACAAAAAAAAGTAATGTGGAGATACCATGGTGTGTTGATGGTATCAGATGAAAATACCATGGCATTTTGGTACCTTATATATCAGCAGTTCTCAACCAGGGAGCTGCAGGATGACTTTTATATTAATAAAGTATTATTGATATTTTAAAATAATCTTGCTATAATCTAAATTGAAGTGCTGAAAAACACATAAAATCAAACTGAAATCATAATTCTTTTTTTTTCTCCCTTCCAAAAACTGAAATCATTTTATAATATTGGGGGAACTTCGAATATTGTGTTAGACAACGGGGAGCATTAAAGTAAAAAAGTGAGATCCGCTGCTGTATACTAGAGTATATATCTAAAAACCCATAATATTACCCTGACACCTTGTCCAAACAAAAACAGCAATTACATTTTTGTATGCTACTGTTAATTCTTAGACTGTGCATAGATATTGAAAAATGTATATTGAAAAAAAATATTTAAACTATTTATGCATTTGTGCATTTTATACATTTATATGTGACTAAAAGTGTGTGTGTGTGTGTGTGTGTGTGTGTGTGTACCTACTTAACCATATTTTGGGGACAAATTTGTACCCAAAAGTGAGCTAAACATGACAAAATCTCCAAAAACCTCCCAGGTGTAGGGTTGGTGTAGGGTGATAGAATATACATTTTGTACAGTATAAAATCCATTACGCCTATGGAATGTCCCCATTTAGATAGCTAAGTAAACGTGTGTGTATGTGTGTGTGTGTGTGTTAAATTTGCTCAGAATTTATTAGCCAGCTTCATGGCGGCTTTGTTTATTCTCGTCATTTCAGTATGAGTGACAGCTCCGTTTTGCAAATGGGAGAACAAGAGAGGGAGAGAAAATAAATTGGATAGAGAAAATTAGCATAACATTAATGAGCGTTCCCGGTTGAGGTGCGGCATTGTGGGTCTCTCTCTGCACTGAGCTTGAGCTCAGCAAAACACAAACTTGTTTATAGCGAGCTGCTGGGAAAATCGAGAAAAAAAGGCTCTTTCAAGGTTTTCGGAACAACCGTTTTTTTCCCACTGAGTGTGTCTTTCTCCGTTGTTGTTCCATGCATTAAACGCACAGCTTTGCTTATAAATGCAGAGTTAAAATGCAGGGGTGCAGCCTAAGTCGAATTGTGAATTAAATTTGGATTAGACGGAGCTCTTGTAACAGCAAGTCTGTGTGCCTTCAGCCAAATCTGCACCTGTTTTTTACACTATTGGACTGGACAGAGGGGTTTTGTACATTATATATTTCAGCAGTATTATATATTTTCAGCAGCACAGTGTGGCAATTAATTAATATATTTCACTACACTTGATCAGCCATGGTGTATATAATATATACAGTCAGGTTGTTTGTCATCTATTTTTATTTCAAATAAAAAAACACCATATACTTAATGGGCTCTGAAAAAGATTAATCATTCATAATTTTTTGACTGACTTAATTGAGGGGTCAACCTCAGGGATTTTAGCAGCACACTGTAATTCCTGTAAACAAGATCATTTTTGCTCTCACCGGGGTAATTTCTCACAATCCTTACTTTGGTGTGCTATAAAAATACCTCGTAGAAGTGACTCATTAGCGTTGCTTGAAAAACCTGCATTAGTCTCATCTCGTTTATCAGTAAATCCACACCAAGGGTGTTTCCTGTGCTCGGACGCAACAAGACCACTGTTCGGAGAGATGGACAAGGAAGCCTGTAGGTTTCCTCGCATTCAGACTAGAAATAGCCCTGCTCTGTGGGCGCGGATCCAGAGATTGTTTCCCTGGACCTGTGGAAGTGAGAGGATACAGCAGTGTTGGGATACGATCCTGTCAATGGGAAATGATTTGTGTGTATGTGTATCCGTGTGAATTTCAGGCCACCCGTGGTGGGATTTTACATGTTTTTGTTAAATGTTTAAAATGGTTTAACTTAGGGATGTACCGATATGGAAATTTTGGCCGATACCGATAACCGTTTATTCTTTATTTTTGAAAGCCGATAACCGATATGTTGGCCGATAAATCTATATCCAATTTGTTATATACTTTTTGAGAGCCTGATTACAAAAAAGGTCTCATCATTAAAAGCCACATCCCAAACACTTCAACATAAGCAGCCTAGTTTGAACGGTGTACGTTTTAAAAATATTTTTACTCTCCCATTACCAAATTTAGTCATAAAAAAGTCTTACAAATAAATAAAATAATGCATAAATAATGCAAACAAGTCACTGGACATCATTACACGTGTAAAGAATCAAAATGAATGCGCCACAGATCAATAAAACAGAATAGCCTCTGCACGGACAATAATTAAATGATTTTAATTACTAAACCATATTGTTGATGAAAATAATAAGAGAAAAATACAAGTGGTTGTTGTTATTAATAATATATCAATGATTTTGAAAAAGTAACAAATTAATACCACTGTTTTAAATAGCAGCCATTGAGCTGCAGCTCAAGCTGAAGCTGAAGAGCTGAATGAACACGGTAAACTGAAGCGTTTTGCTGGCAGCTTATTTAACTCAAGGAAATGCATCCTGAGATTAATATTAATACAACATAAACATAATATTACAACTTATATATGTACAAAATGACGCAGTTATTGCATGCTATAGTCAGAATGTGTGATCCTGTTGTGGATGCGCTCTTCCCATAACAACGCGCTGAAACACAGCAACTAAACCCAAAGAATGCACAACGTTTTATTATAATAATGTTCTCATTAGAATGTTATATACACAACATTCCCAATCATAGTTATTAATGTTGTGCACTGCTGTTTGAGCTGCGTGCGCTGAGCTAAAGACGATCACCGGTAAACTGAAGCGCTCTTTTAACTTAACCAAACGCATTCTATATGAGATAAATCAGATATACATCAAATAAACACAATATTACAACGTACAATTGCACAAAAGGCTGCAAACGAACAGCGCACATCTGAAGTGTCTCTGAAGGAAATAATGCATTATTTATCGGCTTTAAGATATCGGCCAAATTTTCTTATCAGGCCGATACCGATAACAGAAAAAATGAACATTTATCGGCCGATACCGATATGGCGGCCGATATATCGTGCATCCCTAATAAACAAACTAGTCACTGGACATCATTACACGTGTAAAGAATCAAAATGAATGCGCCATAGATCAATAAAACGGAATATCCTCTGCACGGACAATAATTAAATTATTTTAATTACTAAACCATATTGTTGATGAAAATAATAAGAGAAAAATACAAGTGGTTGTTGTTATTAATAATGTATCAATGATTTTGAAAAAGTAACTAATTAATACCACTGTTTTAAATAGCAGCCGTTGAGCTGCGCGTGCTGAAGCTGAAGAGCTGAATGAACATGGTAAACTGAAGCGTTTTGCTGGCAGCTTATTTAACTCAAGGAAATGCATCCTGAGATTAATATTAATACAACATAAACATAATATTACAACTTATATATGTACAAAATGATGCAGTTATTGCGTGCTATAGTCAGAATGTGTGATGCTGTTGTGGATGCGCTCTTCCCATAACAACGTGCTGAAACACAGCAACTAAACCCAAAGAATGCACAACGTTTTATTATAATAATGTTCTCATTAGAATGTTATATACACAACATTCCCAATCATAGTTATTAATGTTGTGCACTGCTGTTTGAGCTGCGTGCGCTGAGCTAAAGACGATCACCGGTAAACTGAAGCGCTCTTTTAACTTAACCAAACACATTCTATATGAGATAAATCAGATATACATCAAATAAACACAATATTACAACGTACAATTGCACAAAAGGCTGCAAACGAACAGCGCGCATCTGAAGTGTCTCTGAAGGAAATAATGCATTATTTATCGGCTTTAAGATATCGGCCAAATTTTCTTATCAGGCCGATACCGATAACAGAAAAAATGAGCATTTATCGGCCGATACCGATATGGTGGCCGATATATCGTGCATCCCTAGTTTAACTGACAGTAAATGATTACTTTTCTTGTGTGTGTTTCTCTTAGTTGTGTGTCATTCTGGAGCCGATGCAAGAGCTAATGTCCCGACACAAGACCTACAACCTCAGCCCGAGAGACTGTCTAAAGACCTGTCTGTTCCAGAAGTGGCAAAGAATGGTGGCCCCTCCAGGTAACAGCAAATCACCGTCCTCTGTATTACGAGACGCTCCTAATGGCAGCAATTTGTGCTCTATCAGATTTTTACGGATGTGTGTGTTTAACGTCATGGTCTTTGGGGAAATATGCTCTAATTCAGCTCTTCTGTGGGACCTGTCAGGGAAATTCTGTGGTTTTACACTCTTAGGTGGACTAGAACAGACATCCTGCAAACTTTACAGCGACCCCAAAATGTATTTGGTCACTTAAGTCAAAAAACAAAACAAAAAAAAACAAATATATATATATATATATATATATATATATATATATACGACTGTCAGTCGATTAAAATTATTTTTATCTAATTAATTACACAATGTGGCAATTGATTAATCTAATTAATCGCATGTTAATCGCACATCAAATTTGGCTAAGAAATTATCCACAAAAGATCATTTTAAGCCATTACTACGTTACATGAGAATAGCATGAAATGGATGTTACAAAAAGTAGCTTTCGAAATACATTTTTCACTTTCCCTTATATTTTCTTTTTTAATTTTGGGTGAACTATCCCTTTAATTATTATTATAATTTTTTTTTAATAATATGGATATGGATTTTTTTTTCAGATTTTTTATTAATTTGTAAATATGAAATAATTTTTTATGAAATTATACTCTAAATAAGAACTGCCCATAGGTGGTAGTAAATGTCTTAATGAATAAGTAATTGAGTCATTCATTCATTCATTCGATTCGTTCAAATGGCTGATTCATTCAGGAATTAAGTAAATGGCTGTCTTTATGAATGGGCCATTAAATCATTATGTAACAAAGGTCGTAGATCAGGAAGAAGGAGGCGGGAACCGGTGAACATTTATACACAAAAACTTTAATAAATAAATAAACGAACACAAAATGAAAGTGAAAGTGGCAACACCTCACTGACGACTGCCACATAAAACAACAACATAAAATCCAGGCCTGGTCCTCTCTCGTCCTTCACTGTCGTTCCTCTTATCCTTCCGGAGCTCCTCCGTGGGACTCGAGACCGGTGTGTGGCGCAGGTGTCCCTCATTATCTTTCACTCCACCAGGCCTCTCTCCGTTCGGTTAAGGCTGGTTGTGGCTGGTTAAGGCTAGATGGCATACATCAATATAGCGTAATTTTTCTCACACTGTACAACAATAATTACTATTTTTGCATTATTGTAAGGGGTAGGTTTAGGGTTGGGGTAGGTGTAGGTGTAGACGTTAATAAAATACAATCTAATAGGTAGAAAATTCAATTTATTGTTAGCTTCCGGTTTTTGCTGTATCCCTTCTAGCCACAACCTCTCCATTCCCACGACCCTCGGCCCCGCCCCACTCGTCACACATTGGTTCACCAAATTCAAAATCAATATCAAATTTGCACTCGTTCTGTTCTGGACAAAACAGCACTCGTGTGATATTGCTCAACTATATACAATATAAATATTAGACAGAAACTCATACAGGGGCATTTTTGCCCCAGTATCTTGAATTTTAGGAGCTTCTAACTGCATTCTATAGGCTTCATCACACAGTGAGTTGTCTTGCATCATGTTCGTCACCAATCTGCTGTATAGGTGTGTTCTGTGTTGAAGCGGCTCTGCGCAGATCATCAGTGTTTGATGCCATACACCGATCGATCTGCCCAGCGCCGCTTCAAGTCGAACACACTTCATAAAAAGTGTACAGTATATATCTATATATATCTCAGTGGTGTGCAGTGGTGTTCTGAAATGAGGGGTCAAAGTGCTCACAGTTTTATTTATTTATTTATTTTTAAATCAAATGTAAATTAATTAAATGTAAATTCAAACGCCCCGATACACACACACACACACACACACACACACACACACACATATATATATATATATATATATATATATATATATATATATATATATATATATATAGATATATAG